GAACTTAACTTCTGTGGGCCTCAGTTTTGCCATCTGTAAGATGGAGGAATTACAGTGCCTGCCTGGAGGAGTCACTGTGAGAATTCATAGAGAGAATTTGTGGAAGCACTCATACAGTGCCTAGCACATGGGGAGCATCAGGAAATAAAGAGCCACAGCTGTTAGCCTTTGTGATTCTTAGCCTCCCGACACAGACTCAAAGAGGATGCTGCCTTCAATCATCTTACCACACGAGTACCATATACTGTGCACTGAGAGGTGGCATCGAAGGCGTATTTCTCATGAGAGCTCCCTGCATCCTCAGCACACCCCTGAGCCAGTGCTAAGAAGGCAAAGGGAGGCTCAGAGAGGTTGTGTGATGTGCCCAAGCGCACACAGCTAGGAAGAGGTAAGGAGGAAGAGTGGGGCCCTAAAACCTTGGGCCTTGGCCAAGGAGAAGAAGCCACGGCTCATTCTAGGGCCTCTGAGCAGCTCTCTAGTAAGAGGGGCCTAGGTCCAAGCCCACCAAGACCACGGCATCCAGGAGTGGAAGGAGCTGTGATAATCCCCAGGGCGGCAGGAGACGAGGGAGAGAACCTCGTCTCCTGCCCTAGACCCAGAAGGGCATGTTTAGTCTGCAGAGGATCCCTACCCCACTCTCCAGGAAAACTGGGAAGGTCAAGGTGGGAGGGCTTCTCTCCAGTAGGGTTTGGGGGGCCAAAACCTACAGGTGCAGCCTTAGAAGACACACCTCTGTCCTCCACTCTGGCCACAAGAACAAGCATTCTGTCAGTCCCAGCTCACACCATGGGGCTTGAGGTGAGGCCCAGGGCACAGCAGGGGCTCGAGCAACAGGAGGTGTTGACTGCCTTCTGGCCCATAGACCCCAAGGGCCCTTTCCACACTGGTCACAACAATGCCTATTTTAGCATTCTCTCAGGAGGCTTTGGATGCCGGGGTCAGTGAATAGATTGAGCAGTGGTTTTAGGAGGCAAAAGTCCTCAGGCCGCTCTCTCTGTGCTGTGCTAGAATCTGCCCGGAAACGAGGGTGCATTCAGGTAGTCTGTGTTCAAAAAAATCTCAAGATGGTAAGTCAGGGCAAAATGGATATTAACAACTCTGTTAACTGGTGCCCAGGGATGTATGTCGTCCTCTGTACGCCCCCCCTCAGCCACTTATAAGATGTGTGACTTTAGGCGAAATCACTATCCCTGTCTATGCCTCACTTTCCTTCAGAAAACAGGGATAACATACCTCTTCCCTGGGTTGCTGTGAGTATTAAATGAGGGAGGGGTGCAGGGCTTGGCACACAGTAGAGTTTCGGTAAAGGCTGACTCCCTGCTCCTCTGCCCCCGTGTGACGCCTGAGCAGATAGAGCACAAGTGTAAGGCAGAAACGCTGAGTGAGTGGCCAGAGCCAGGGTAACTCAACCTTCCACCCAATAATGCACAAAATGACCCTGAAATTCTGCAACTGGTGCTGGATAACTGTAGTCCTAACCAATGCTGAGCCCACCTGGGAGTGGGGACACAGAGACAAATGAGGCCTTGTCATTGCCCCCCAGGAAGTTCGCGGGCTTGTGGGAGGGACATCTACTCGGTGGGCTCAGTGTGATAGAGGGCGGCAGAGGGCCTGGGCAGGCCCCATAGATCCTCCTAACCCAGGCTGAGGAGTCCTGGAGGAGGGGTCACCCAGACCAAGTGGGAAAGGGATAAGTGAAAGATGAGTTAGGTGAAGCTGGAAAGTCTAGGAAGGAGGCTTAGCATGAGCCAAAGTGCAGAAAGGAGAGAAAGGGTGGGGCGATACGTCATGGGACACTGGGGTTGGGGCTGGTGTCTGAACACAAAGATAGTAGAGCATCTATTTCAAGAGCAGGGCAGAGCAAAGGTGATTGCTGTGAGGTTGGTGATCATACAGCCCGGGGTAGAGGCTCATCATTTTGATTTCCCAGGGAGATCCCAGGTCTCCTGGGAGCGCTGCACGCCTATTCCTCCAGCTGCGCTTGCGGAGTAGCAGCCACGGACCCGCGCGCTTCTGCGGAGGCCAGTCGCTAAGCAACAGGCCCCACTCCTGCGGTTGTCTCGCCTCCACGCGCCCTCTCCTGGTGGCCCCTTGCCAGTGCATCCGGCGTCAGGGAATGCCGCCTGCTGCCTTCCAGAACGTTCTCCCAACTCATAGCCAAGCCTTGGTCGTTTGGGTTGAGCGATGCTGCCCCCCGCCGACGGTCTCTCTGCTTCCAACCTTTTTCTGCCAGGACCTGGCTGACTCCACCCCTGCAAGACCTGGGCTGGGCCAGCCAGTGAGGGAGGCGGCCAGAGAGGGGGGCAGGCAGGTTGTGCTGAGAACTTTGGTCTCAGAGCAGTAGGGAGCCACGGAAGGTGCATAAGCGGGATAGCAACATGAGCGGATCTGGTGTTTCAGTGCTCACGCTGAAGCTGCTGGAGGACAGCCTTGTGGAGCAGGGCATTCAGGGAGCACGATTAAACTGACTGGAAAAGCTACAGGCAGCAGGGGTCAACTGAGCCCACCAGGAAGTAACCATGGTGATGGCACACAGGAAAGGGCAGGCTGGGGCTCTCAGAACTTGGGGTTCACATCAAGGGGAAGGGAGCTAGGCAGGGTTCCACCCTGCCCCACAGCTGGTCTTTTCAGCCCCAGCAGGCACCCTCAAGGCTGCAGGAAACATGCTGACCAGTCTCTGAGACTCATCAGTTCACAGGTCTGCAGGACAACTGAGCGATCCTCCCCTTCCAGGAGTCCTCTGGACATGGATCTCTAGAGGACAAGGGAACATTGCTTTTCTCCATAGGACAGAGCTTCCCATCTCAACCCTGCAGGCTAATTAAACATTGGTCTGGCATGGTGTGGAGTCCCTGTGGTCACAGACTGCCTCTTGTGTGTGTTGATCAGAAATGCAAAAACAGCTTTATGGATTAATGCAGTTTGGTTGAAAAATCTTTCAAAGCATGGGGTCTAAGATAAAGCAAAGTGATGAAAAATTAGGGTCACTGATCCAGCCCCACCTGGCCATACTGTCAGAAGGTCACAGGTCCAGTGAGGGCAGAGTTCCGCCAAGTGGAACCAGACGCCGGGTCTTCTCCCACCCTCCTGGGGTTCCTGCAGCCCTGTGGACCCAGGGGCAGCACCAGCATTGGGGTGGCTGATAGCTTTAGCCTCAAAGCCAGGCTAGTCCAAAATCGCTGCATCACCAGGTCCAGACTGAAGCCAGTGTGACCTGCAGGCCTCAGTATGCCTCGTTCTGCTCTGCTGAAAGCACTGTCTGTAAAGCAGTAACTGAAAACTTCCTGACTGTACTTGCTCCAGTACCTTCCAACAGAACAGGCCCAGGCCCTTGAACTCCAGCCACCACACTGATGTTGAGAGAACAGTTAGAATATCACTTCTCAGTGTTCTTCCTGCCACCTGTCCTAAGACACCTGGCCCACAGGCAAGACAGGAAGCAGGTCGGCCTAGTTTCCTGGGTGCCAATCCTTCCCAGAGAGAGAACAGGACACCGTCCCCCACCCTCAAATCTGTCACTCCAGGTCTCCTACCCTTTCTACCTCCCTACTGAGAGTGCCTACCCTCACCTAACTCATTCTTGCACTTTAAGATGCAGTCAAAGCCCCAATTTTTCCAGAAGGCTTTCTCTGACCACACTCCCCCACCCCCGCCAACAGCTCCTTTACCTCTCTCTGTCCCATGGCAATCCCACTGAACTGTCTATTTGTCCCACTAGATTCCATGCTCCTCATGGGCAGAGCTGATTGCCAGGTTCTGAATCCAGCAGATGCAGGATGCTTTTTAAATGACAGAGGAAGTGAAAACAAGGGAAGAGAACCAGGACCCTAAAACACAAAAATGGGATCAAGTTCTGTTTTTTAAAACCATGTCACTCGGCAGGGACCATGAAAGGCACTAGGGAAGAGAAACTAAAAGAAATCTTTACATTTTATGTGTCTGCATCAAATTTCCTTAAAAGGTCTCTACTGCTTAAAATAATAACAATACTGATAGTAAAAAAAAACCTACTAGCCTGGTCCAAGGCTCTCACTTGGTAACTGAAGTAAAGGAAGGGCCTTGCCTAACTACATAGAAAGAGCAGGCCAACAGGCCACAAACCCCAGCTCCCGACTCCCCTACCCAATGCTGCCCTCCACAAAGATTTAAAGAGAGGATAAACCTTCCACAAGGATTTCTACTGCCAATTTTATTTCAATAGTCAACTGTTTCCAGAGAAGAAACTGCTGGTGCCACAGGTAATGTGAAAGAACCATCCTATTCTCTGAGAACTGCATCAGCGCTTATGAACAGACTACTTTTTAAAGCTAGCAATCACTATAAAAACACTAAATAGTCAAACTTTAATAGACTTTTTTAAACCAGAAATGATGCCTGTAATGGCTTAAACTTCATGGAGAACAAGTGAGGCAGCCCTGGCGGCCAGAATGCTTATAGTAAAGGCCGCTGGGGAAGGGGCGAGGGGCAGTGGCCAGGCTGACCGTGGGGGACAGAGCAGCAAGGAAGGATGCTGCAGAACCTGCTGTCAGCACCCTGGTCCTGGCTGCTTGTGCCATCCACCTGGATGCGCTGGACGCCTGATGTCTGTGTGGCCCCCAGCTGGGGACCAGGGAGAGGCAGCGGAAACAGAAGGCTAAAGTAGATGATGCCTCCTGTCCTGCAGCGGGACCTAAGGAAATCAAAGGCTGCCTCTGGGGGCGAGTCTGATAACAGCAGCACAAACCAGAGGTGGTTAAATTCATTCCTCAACGTGAGCTTCCACCAGTCCCCCACTCCTTACAGCCCTGGCTCTGCCCTCCAAGCTCCTTTTCAAGCCCCTGTTATCTCAGGATTGAGAGAACTTTAGCAATCACCTTCCTTCCTCCAGTCTTGAAATGGGAATTAACTGCCATCTTATGCCTATCACTATCCTTCCTCCCTACACATCACTGAACAGAGACAAGAAAATCATTGCTGTTAACACCCCCAAGGCCCCACTCTGCTGGCCTGAGGGCCTGGGCCTAGTTGGACTGCTCCTGGGACGAAGGCTGGCTGGGCTCACACGGCTCCTCCGCATCCTGGTCATCTGTGAAGGACAGAGAAGAGGGGCTGGATTCAACAAGAGGGAAAATTACCTGTTTTCAGATGTAAGTTTTCTCAAAGGCATTCTCATCATTTCCAGTCCCTACGGAGAGTTAGTTATTCCCACTGCCACCTTTAATTTGCTAGGAGTCAGGACACTGGAATTCTAGCCCTGGCCACATGATACAGACTCAAGTTCAAACTCCAGCTCTGCTTGTCACAAGCTGGGTGGGAGGAAGCAGGCTACTCCCAGCTGTGAACCTCAGCTTCTCCTTCTGTCAAAGGAGATGATGCCATACTTTGCAGCATCAGGGGATTAGGTGAAACACTAAATGAGAACTAACTTTTACTACCGCCTTCATCGTTTCAGCCACCTTCAGGATGGCCTCATGAAGTAAGGGACCCTTATTAGTCCGCTTGTGCAGATACTGAAACTGAGGCACGAAGGAGTGAATTAACGTGCCCGAGGTCATACCGTTGGCAAGCGCTGGAGTCAGGATTTATACCCAGGCTGTGCAGCACCAGGGCCAGTGTACTTCAAGCCACACTGCACCATCTCACCAGCTAACAGAGCTAGGTGTTGCACACACAGCAAGTGTACAATAGGCCTCAGTTTCTTTTCCTGTGGAGCCTCAGGGGAGGATGGAAAGGGTAAAAAAAAAAAAAAAATCCTAGAACCTTTAAAGCTGCAAGGGCCCTCAAAAGAAAACCCAAAGCATTTTCACATCCAGAGTTGCAGTTGACCTTCACAGTAACCCTGTGACAGGGCCTGTTTTACAGGTGAGAAGACTGAGGTCTAGAGGAAGGTGTGAGTGCCCAAGATCACCAAGTGCACCAGTGGCAGAGCTGTGAAGGGCAGGTTCTCTCCAGAGTGGCCTGGGGGAGAGGAATCATCCCCACCAGCCCCCAAACTGGCTCCAGCTGCTGCTCCAGGCTCAGCACGTGCTGTTTCCCCAGCCAGAGAGGCCCGGCACCTCTGGTCTTCTGAACACACCACATGTGTGCCATCCTCCAAGTCTCTGCCCACGGGCACTGCTAAGGTGAGGAAATTAGCATTGGACCTGGAGCCAGGCAGAGAATTCTGTTGAAATCTGAGCTCTGCCACGGACATATAGGAGAACCTCGCAGGGTTCTGTCGGTTTCCTCACCTGAGAATGGGGACCCACCTCCCCTAGATGCTCACGGATGGAATTTAGGGAGGGGTGCAAGGAAGAGCTTACCCAGGGCCCAGCACATTTAAAATTCTGTTCTCCATTTCTCTTCTCTGCACGTCCACTTCGCAGTAGGGCCCCCTTCCTCCAGAAAGTCTCCCTGGCCCCCCGGCAGCTGGAAGATGGGGGCTCACTCACCAGTGTTCTCCTTGTCCGCGTCAGACACGATGGGCAGTGAGGACGATGGGGGCGGCAGGGGCAGGCAGTGGAGCATGGACAGGTACTGCGGGGGTAACTGGGGCGGCGGCAGCAGGTAGTAGCGGTGCTGGAAGTCTTCCACTGGCTCCTCCACCTGTGGGGCGCACACAGCAGAGAGCCAGAGGGGAGAGGGTTGGCCAGAAGGGCCGACCCTATGTTCATTCTCCTGAACGGGGGGCTCCCCGTGGGGCAGATTCACCTCCGTGGCCCAGACACCGGGGCACAGGGCGCCCGGAACAGGCTGCTTGGCAAGCACCTGCCAGATGACTGAGGCAAGAAGGAACAGAGGCACACCTCAGATAAGCCCGGGAGCAGGCGCACTTGCACAGGTCCACAACCTCCTTCCATCCTTACGACCCTAGGAGGGAGGTTCTAATACTATCCTCACTGTGGTGACCAAAAACTGCATCAGTGAGATGAAGGTACAGGCCCAGGGCCACAGAGCTGGTGAGTGGCAGAGGCAGAACTGAATCCTGAGTCGGCCTGACCCCACCGCTTTGCAATGGACAAGGATCTGCATGCATCCCGACTACGTGTGGTCCCACCTTCCGCACGTGTAATGACTCAGACTCCAGGGTCACTGGGCCTGGGGGGTGTCCCCCTTCTAACCCGACAGTGTCGTGCAACCGTTACTGAGGCAAGGGCAGCTGGGTGACCTCAGCAAAGTGGCTTCAGCAATCAGCCCTTCTGTATTTCTCTCCCTTCTCCGGAAGATGAAAGCTCACCCCACATCACAGGACCCCAAGGCTGGAATGAGGGGACGTGGAGGGGTGATGACTACACAGCTCAGAGAAACTTAACTGGAAAGACATGAATGCGATAGAAAATTACGAATTTCAGGTGTGGGTCCTATTGTTTACTTCTCCATCCAGATGCTTCAGAGCAGCCCTTCTTAAGCTGTGCTCCAGAGAACTCTGGTGTCCTACAAGGTATTTCTAAAAGTGCTCTCAACAGTGTTCTTTGTCAAGGAGTTTGAGAAACACTGCATACCACCTCCACACTGGTGAGTCACACACAAGCATATTAAAGGCCTCGAGGCAGTTTGCAAAAATCTCCTTAGGGTAACCCAGCACTTCCTAACTTAATTTGACCACAAGGAAGGGAAGATAAGCCCACTTTTGAGTACCTGCCATGTCCCAGACCCTGTGCCAGACACTTTGTACGCATTCACACCTTATTGCTGGAATCTATCAATGGTCCTATGAGATAGGACTCTTACCCCCACTGTACAGATTAAGAACCCAAGCGAGGTCCTCAGAGGTTAGGTGACATCCCCAGGCCATGTGGCCAGTAAACAGCGGAGGTAGGATTGGTCTTTAGGTCTGTGCGATTCCAGGCCTGTGCTCTTTTGTGGGAAGAGAAAAGAGGAAGCAAAGAAGTAGCAGGTGGGGCAGGACAGGAAGAGAAGGTGGAAGGTGGCTCGGGGCGTATCTAGGACGCTGAGCAGGGGCCAGCAGGACAAGGATGAAAGCAGTTCATAGGCTCTTGGGTTTGAAACAGCTTCACAAATAAATGCCTGATCCTCTGCCCAGACGTGAAGGGGGTGGGAAGGGGGGGATTATTAGTGCTTTAATTCCAAGCTGCTCAGCGGAGTCTCTCCCTGGATCACAGCTCCTGCCTGGGGCTTGTGGTGGCAGCTCAGGCCCAGATAAACCAACTGAGATCACACTCCTAACAAAGGCCGTCTGGCAGGCCTGTCAATCAGAGCCCTGCCCTGGATGCCAGGCCCCAGGCTTCTGTGTGAGCAGACGGTGGGTGTGTGCTCCATTTGGCCAAGGTCCCTCTCTTTGTGTGGAGGCTAGAGACGCCGTGCTCTCCCTGGGCTGCAATGGGGTGGCCGGCACCCCCAGATTTCAGGCAGGGCAGGGGTGGCGGTGAGAGTCAAGGGCCATGTTTGCTCCGCCTCTGTCCTGGCTCTGTCACTGACCAGCTGTGTAATCTGAATCCTAGTCCCTCACTCCCCAGTCCTGTGACCCTGGACAAATACATAACTTCTTGGAGTCTTCTTCCTCGGCCCTACAACGAAATAACATTCACCTCGAGGGCTGACATAAGGGCCAGCAGGCACTCTGGAAATTATCAAGACCAGGAGTGTTCCAACTTTTCCCCCTTGAATGAATGGAAAATGATTTCTAAATAAAACTTGAAAAGATCTGGAACAGACAGAGGAGATGCTGCCGAGGTGAAGCAGGAGTGGGGATCCAGCCCCTGCGTGCCTGACCTGCCTGGTCACAGCTAGAACCCCACTGAACCAGCTAATGACCTGTGGCTAATGACCTCATTATGTCAATGCCAAGCTTTTATCCTTCCTCTTACTCACTTCCCACATTAAACCAAAGAAGCCTACTCTCTACTCACACTTCTCCGCCCTCCACGCAAGGGAAACATCTCTGTAACACCCAGCGTTAGGCTTGTAGCTCTAAGGGAGACAGTAAAGGTGACAGTGGTCTACATTTCCGTGAACTTGAACTGCGTCTGAGCCAACCTCCCCCACAGGTCCAGCCTTATGGGGTCAAAGTCAGGACTGGTCACCCAGGCCTCTCACTATCCTGCAGTCCTGATGGCCCTCAGTGCTTGCCAAAAGGGAGAAGGGTGGAAGGAGCTGGTAACCAAGGCCGCAAAACCTGGTCCCCCCGCCCGTATCTCACACAACAGTTCTGACTTTTACACATCCAGCACTCAAAACTCCAGGCTCAAAAGCACACCAGTTAGTAGCCAACCACTGATCTTATAAAAGGATTAAATTTCATCCATTCTTTCAACAAATATCTCCTAAGGTGACAGGTGTTTGGGGAAGGTTTCCATATTTTTCATGACTAAGCTTAAATGCCACTTCCTTCTGAAAGCCCTCTGCTATCTCCAGTGGGATATACCTTTGGGGCAGGGGACCTACGTCTGCTCCTGGCTCTGCCCTCAAATGTGTGCCTCCAGGAAAGTGATATTTCCTTTCTGGTACCCAGCAAAATGAAGGGCCCTTCTAGCACTGGCATTCCATGGGTCAAGGCTGGTGGTCCCTCAGTGTTACTGTGTGGCGGTTCCTCGGGCTCATCTGAAATGTGTCTGTATTCCTTCTTGCCTGAGCTCCCGGAGCCTTTTAACCTGCGCCACAGCCCAGGCTGACTTGTCTACATGTGTACAGACTTGGCTACACACGTGCATTCCCAGAGGTGCACACAGTACAAGGTCAATGCTGTATCCTTCTGACCAGTGCCCAGGGCCTGGTACAGAGTGGGCACAATGGCTGGCTTCCTGGGACTGAGGGTCTGTAAAAGCAGCCAGGGTAACTGGGGTAAGGAGGAACCTCGAAGAGTCAGGGATGGGACTCACCAAGCCTGCTCCATTGTAGTGGCTGCAGGACGCGTGCTGGAAGCCCTGCTGCAGGGGGACCCCCGGGGTAAGGGATGCATCCTGGTAGCCCAGCAGGAACGGGTGGTAGGGGTGCATGCTGGAGCAGGTGTGGTACAGCTTGGAAGGCTCTCTTTCCAGGTACTCAGACCCCACCACACGATCTGAGTTGACGCTCAGAGGGGGCCCTGAAAAGGGACACAATGAGGGAAGTGTTAAAAACACACAGAGCTAGGAAACAGGGCATCACATTACTGTCTGAAGGTAGCAGTACAATAAACACTCATATCCATTTACAGAGAACTCCCACATCCATTATGCTTTTGACCCTCCCTGCTTTTTAAACCCTTCACCCACGTTCCACTCACTGCTCTTAGGAAAAGTTCTTTGGCAGAGCCATGAAGCCCCATGTGGGCTAGTTCCTGCCTCCACTCCAGCCTCCTCGTTCCCGAAAATCTAGCAGCTCCTTCTTTCTCCTCCACCTCAGGGCCTCTGCAGATGCTGTCCCCTAAGCTTGGAAGGCTTTTTCTCCTGACCCCACTTTGCCTCCTGAAGACCTCAGTACTCAGCTCCTAATCTTCCTTCTGACCACAGCTAAACCATCGATTATTAGAGCTCTATACACCAATCTGTGCGACTCTTTGATCAGTGGTGTCACTCTCCCCAGGACAAGATCCTTGAGGACAAGGAATCTGACTCATCCTTTTCATCATTAGTGTCTGGCACATGGTGCTCAGGGCTCAGCCCCTGTTCTTTGAGAGATGGAACAAAGAAAGGCACTGTGGGGCTTCCCCGGTGTCACAGTGGTTAAGAATCCACCTGCCAACGCAGGGGACACGGGTTCGAGCCCTGGTCTGGGAAGATCCCACATGGTGCGGAGCAACTAAGCCCGTGCGCCACAACTACTGAGCCTGCGCTCTAGAGCCCGCATGCCACAACTACTGAGTCTGTGCTCCGCAACAAGAGAAGCCACCGCAATGATAAGCCCATGCACCACAACGAAGAGCAGCCCCCGCTCGCTGCAACTAGAGAAAGCCCGGCCACGACAACGAAAACCCGATGCAGCCAAAAATAAATAAATGAAAGGAAGGAAGGAAGGAAGGAAGGAAGGCACCGCATCCATGGAAAGGTATCCTTCTCCTAGAACTGCTGTTTCAGATTTGTCTTCCCCATCTAGTTCTCTGGGGACCTATATTTTCCTAGAATGTCCTAGAAGGCAGAAACGCGCTTCAGAGAGCATCAGGCCAATCCCCTTAGCATACAGAGGGGAGAGACTGCCACAGAAGGAAGGAGCTTGCCTAGGGTTACGGAGTGAGCAGGCCCCCAGCGTCCTGACTCAGACTTGTGCTCTTTCTACCACACTGCCATAGAGAAAACCAAGAAAAAACGTGTCTGCACCCAAAACGAGCCCCTTTAAAAAAGCTTCAAATCTACATGTGACTTGAAATTGTAATAGTGAAAGCCACAAGACCTAGGGAACAATGTAATTTATGCATATGGAGGGAGGGAAGAAAAAACAGGCAACAACAATCATCTCAATAGACTGTCCTCCTGCAGTGAACAGAGATCGCATTCCCACCCACGCCTGGGAAACGGCTGGAAGGGCTGCACAGATAGACCCATTGGGGCAGGGAATGGGTGAGGGTCGGGGCCTCTAGGGCACAGAAACGGAGGGGACGGTGCGCAGGCGCAGTCTTGTTGCGCTAGCCCACCCACAGGGACGTCCTGGGGAGGAGCCTCCAGCCCAAGAAAAGGGCGGGAAGAGGCGCGCAAGCGCAGTATGGTCAGGCTTCCTCGGGCCTCTCCGTGGAGGGGGAGGGGCAGCAGAGTCGATTGGGGGCCATTTTTTTCCTTTCAGGATGGAAACGCAAAAAGCCGTAGATAACTGTTAAAAGCCCTCAGAACCACCCATTCCTTTCTCTCTTTTACCTTCTTGCAAAAAGGCACCGAACCCAAATGACTACTCAGAAAAGGGTATCCCAAAGCAAGGTTACCTCTAGAAAGCATCTTCGCCACCCCCACCCCTTCCCCCGCGGGATCTGAGCAGGCCTGGGACGCCGGCGTGGGGAGCGGGGAGGCGGAAGCCCGGAGAGGAACCAACAGCAGGGCAAGGCCGCGCGGGGCCCGCCCGGGAATCTTACCGAAGTCGGCGAATGGCGGGTTGAGCACCGGCCGAAGCGGACTGCTCAGCTCCAGGCGGCAGGGGCAGCCCCGGCCAGCGGCCTCCGCCCCGAGCTGGGGCCTCAGAGACCTGGGCATGGCCACGGCGGCTCGTTTGCTCGGCCCCACGTGGCCGTGGCCACCCAGACCTGGCTGGAAGGCGCTCGGGCCGGGGCTCCAGCCCTGCTGGGGTCTCCCGAGGAAGCAGGAGGCCGCACGGCCCTCGGGGCCCGGGTGCACGTCTCCCGAAGCGGCAGGCGGAGGCAACGGGCGTAAGCTTGAGCCCGGGACGGCGGCCGCGTCCCCGGAGGCCAGCTGGGGCCCCTGAGCGCACAGGGCCACCTCCTGCTCTTCCTCGGATACCTGCTTCTGGAGTACCTGCTGCGCGGCCATGATCTTCTGGCGCTGGGTAATCAGGTAGCACTTATTGCAGGTGCACTGCTTCCAGCGGCACTTGCCCGCGTGGCCCTTGAGGGGCACCAGGAAGCCATGGTTCCGGCACCGGGAGCACCTGGGGGCACGCAGCGTCTTGTCGGCCACCTTGGCAAGGTCTGCCTCCATAGCACAACCGCTACCTCTGGGAGCTTCAGAGCGAGTGGAGCACGGATGAGCAGTGCCCCACGAGTCGCTGGTGCTGGGGACTTTGGATACACTTGTAACAAAGCGACTCTCAGTGCGTCCCAGGAACTGCAGCAAGACCCTTGCATTTTCCCTTTTTTGGGTGCAAAATTTGGAGAGTTTCTATCCCTTGGTTAATAAGATGCAAGGGATTGGATTGAATAAGTTCTGCATGGAATGCTATTGCATATATGTCATCTGGATTATCTGACGCTTTAGGCATTTAATTTCCAAACTCTCTATTCCCGCCATCCCACAGACGGACGCTATTTCGTAGTTTCAAAAAAAGGCGGAGTGATATTCAATGGTGCACAGATTTAAAGCTCCAGAGGAACATATAAACAAACCCATTCCAGTAGAAAAGCATTCCAAAAGGCAAACCGTGTTTCTCCTTCCAAAAGCTGCTGCTTCTGCTGAATTTATCTCCCTTGCAGGGAAGCAGCCGTTCACAGCGATGCTTCCAGAATATTCTCAAGAGCTCAGTGCAGTGTGATAGCTGCTCAAGGGTGTGCCCTATAGTAATTCCCATTTTTTAAGTCTTATTGGTATAGGAATGCATTTCTGGAAGATGGCATATTGCTGTTGTTGATGCCTTCCAAAATCAAGCATACTTAGAATGCTTTAAAGTAAAATAGACTTAGGATATTTTAGCATGAGCTTGAACCATTGCTTAACTGTGCCATGAATTTAGTTACCTCTGTAAAACAACCCAAATCTCGGGACACCTAAAAAGTTGCCACAAACTTCATAGTTTCCCAAGACTACTAAACTAATTCATTTTTTTGTTTTATAGAAATTTGTGACTCCCTGAGGTCTTCCCCCGCCCCCCTTAGGTCCAAAAAAGAAAGAAAAAAGCTTGTGATCATAGGATCAATCATTTTCTTTAAGGAGGTAGTTATGGTTAATACCTGGCGTAAACGTGTGTATTTTTAACTGCCCTTTCTCTGAAGTTCTCTCTTTCAGGTAGCAGAATGGTAGAAGCTGAGAGCCAAGGCCTGGTGTCCACCTTGATCTTCCTGAGCCTCTGGTTGCAGCTGTATTTTGTATTTCTCACCAGCTGCCTGACAATAGGAAGTGGTTGCCAATCTGAGGCTGATTATGTACTGGAAAGCTGAAAAGAGGTTTCTAAAATCTTTTTCTGCTTTAAAGAAATATCTTTCTCGGGCTTCCCTGGTGGCGCAGTGCTTGAGAGTCCGCCTTTCGATGCAGGGGACATGGGTTTGTGCCCCGGTCCGGGAAGATCCCACGTGCCGCGGAGCGGCTGGGCCCGTGAGCCATGGCCACTGAGCCTGCACGTCCGAAGCCTGTGCTCTGCGACGGGAGAGGCCACAACAGTGAGAGGCCTGCGTACCACAAATATATATATATTCCTCATCTTAATAAGAGGGCAAAAAGTATATTCTTCCTGTATTATTTGGCCCTTTAGGAATTTTACTGGTAATTTAAATCCATTTAAAGAGATCTAGGTTTGTCTCTGCTTTGCTCTAACACCCTGTATCTTAATTTTTGATTTAAAAAATATGGTCCCATAGATACAAGGACAGGCAAGCTCTTTTTCTGACTCTACTCAATTCAGAATGTCTAACTTTTCCACCGACCTTGTCAATTGAAAATGTTACTTAAAAATCATATTTTCAATACTACTGTCAAAAAAAACTGGGGCATAAGCTGCATTGTTTCATTATGCTGCAAATTATAAGGTCATTTTCTGCATTATCAAATTTAAAATTTAACATCAGGTGGCATCAGCTGATAAGGCCTAAACAAGAAAACTACTCTCATTTACACTTTCATGCTTGACCACCCAAGCTCTCTTCATTTTCCTATTAATGATTTAAAGGAAAATCCTATTCAAAGACAACTATTTGAATTAACTTATTTTAGCCTTGTTAAGGACAAAATGCTTCCGTATCTATTTCATAACTTTAGGGGCAAAATTTACCCAAGATGATGTGAATTTGCATAGTGTTTTGAGTTAATAAACAACCATATATCTTTTTAATCAGTAGTCACGTTATAAGATGCAGAAACCTCAGCGTTTATATAGTAAACAAATAAGAAAAAAAAAATACTAGTTTATTTCTCTCTTCCCCGCAAAGTCTCAATCTGTGTAGGTAAATTCCAACAGAGCTTTATTTATTTCACTCTTGGAAATTCAGGCAAATTGATAGTTTTGTTTTATTTAGGTTGATGACTGATTACTTCTTAGGCTGCTGCTGCTAGATAGAAATAGATATAGATATACTTCTTTAAATTATTATTTAAAAAGATGGTAAGATGTAAAAGTGAAAAACTGGAAGTCAAAGAAGGATGAGAGCAGTAAGTACATAGTAGACCCCTTCCTTCCCCACACCTAAACCTTTGGATGTTATGTTTAAGAAAGTCTGCATCATCGTAAGCAGTAGTTTATAAAATGACAAGTTATAGTTGCTGGGGAATCACCAGTTTGACTAGTTAACCACAAAGGGGCTGGTTGATGGTCATATCTGAGCTCCAGCTTTAGATATGGCTATTTTTTCCTCGGAGTCCCAAATTTCCTACTTTGAATGATGCCTCTTCTCTTCGGTTAATATGATTGCTATTGGTACTGTTGAATTCATATTCATTTTAAAGAGCCCTGTATTATGCAGTACACAGGGGTGTCACTTATGATCATTAAATATTGCATGCACTACAATGTTTCCTCACTGGTAGCACACAAGAGTAAGGAAGGGCTTTTTTGCCTATAGCATCTTTCCCCCAGCGGCTATAACCTAGATATCTGCTATCTTCTTCTGCAGGTTCTCTCTAGTGAGCAATGAAAACTTTACTGAAGATTTTGTAGGGGATAGAGGGGAGGATTTACATGACACATCCTACAGCAGATGCTTTAAAATCCTGCCTTAGCGTTTCTGTTCTCTCAAGATCCTCCTCTGCTGTGCCACACCCACTGGAGAGGAACTGGTCTGGTTCCCCCCCCACCCCCCGTCTCCACCACCTCCCACCCCCACCCCAGTACCACGCCTCTCTAGCTTTTCTCTCCTTGATTTTTGAGAGTCCTGTGATGGATGTGACTATCTTACTTTTCTTTATGTCTAGTTCAATATAGACATTCAGTAAATATTTGTTGAATGTACAAATGAATCTTACCTCCCTCTCCTGCCAACATCAAAGTCATCTCCTTTCTCACCGGCACAGTAAATCAACTTGAATCCACCAACTTTTGCCAAACATCATACAAAACAGAAAGCCCAGAGTGAACAGGACTACTCTCCCGACAAGCAGAATCTGAGGATCAACTTTGGTTCCTTGAGCTTAACCCTTATCCCTGATGGTTTAATAACAGTAATAATACCTACTAGCACTTACTAAGTGTTTGTATGTGCCAGTAATTACTAAGCGCTTTATGTGTATATATATTCATATAATACTCAAAACAACTCTCTAAGGTAGGTACTATTATTTTCAGCCCCATTTTACACATGATGAAACGGAAGCCTACAGAAGTTAGGTATCTTGCCCAAGGTTTTCAGCCATTAAGTGACAGAGCCATGATTCAGAACCAGGAACTTTATCCTCAAAATCCATGTTCTTAACCATATATCTGCTAGCTCAATATTTCTTCCAAGCAAACACAGTGCTCTCCCCAAGAAAGCATTGGTGATTAATAGAAATGTTTGCCTTGTTACATACCCCATTACAGTTGGGGCAAAGGAGTAGCAACTTGGTGAAAATTCCTAGGATGCCCTGCTTACTTGCTCTTCTTTACCCATAGCCAATATTCATTGAGTGCCAACTATGTGCTAAGCATAGACACAGAAGTAAATAAAAAGATAGGATCCTTTATGTATACTTCCTAGCTGGCAAACCAGACAGTAAGCAAACAATTCCAGATGAAAGCTGAGGAGTGGTGGGGAGACCCAGGATGCTATAGGAACCCATATGAGGGTCCTAATCTGGATCAAGAAGTCAAGGAAGACTTCCTTGAGGGCCTGATTCCTGAGCTCAGGCCTAAAGGATGAGTAGGGATTAGCCAGGTACAGGAGCAGGAGAGGTGTGTCCCAGACAGAACAGCATGTTTAAGGCTGCAGCGTGGCTATCATACAGTGAGTTCAGGAGACTGGAGGGAGAGGAGATGGAGAGGTTGAGCAGTAGCCATGTGGAGGGAGTCCTTAGAGGAAACTATAGCAGTCACTTTTGAAACTGAGCAGGACCCTGCAGGGCCCTCCTGTGTACAATAGCCCCTCCATGTCTCCCGTTTCCTATAAAGAAAAAGTCTTTATAGTCTCCTAGGCCTTCCCAGAGTTCCAAAGAACAGATGCAATCAGTTACTAATTAGGAAAGTGAGAGAATGCAGAAACAAAAAGCAGTCAAGAAACAATAGTTCACCAGTAAAACAGAGTCCTAGTTGCTCCTCAAGGGATATATGCAACAATCTGACACATATCTTTGAGTTATTCTGTAGGAACTGGAACTATAAGACCCCCCTACCCGAGTGGAGGATGGTGATCACAAGCTGAGCAGGAGCACCTGACCGCAGACTGGTTGGAATCAGAAAGTTAATGGTTAAGATTCCTGAAACACCACCCTGTTACCTCACCACCAACCAATCAGAAGAAAGTCATCCCCCTGCAACCCTCACCCCAAATGTTGCCTCTAAAAGCCCTTCCCTGAAAGCCATTGGGGAGTTCAGGTCTTTTGAGCATGAGCTGCCTGTACTCCTTGCTTGGCACCCTATAAATAAACACCGTACTGTCCTTCACCAGTAAACTGGCTCTGCTGCACAGCAGGTGAGCAGACCCAAGTTCGGTTCAGAATCACTATCTAAGACTAAGGAGTGGAAATGACATGGCAGAACCAGGCCAAACTAGAACCCACATATTCAGACATCTAGTCTCTGTCCTTGGTTTTTCTTTCAGAAGGTGGAACAATAAGTAACTAGGACTCACATAGGTATTGCAAGA